TTTTATACACACTATTTGTAATTTCATTACACAGTTGATTAAAGTTATGATGTCATCATTATGCCACCTATCTGTGTTGCACATAACTCAATGATTTTACACACCTCTTGTTGCATACAATACTGCTTTTGTGAGTAGTGTTTTTTTAAATTATAAATATTGTAGCTTGCTGTAATTTTTTGTAAATTTGTGTTATCACCAGATATTGTAAAAATCTCACAATTAATCTTAAACCTAGTTTAAACATTTGCTTCAAAACTTAGCTTTTTATGGTGCACAGATGTCTACTCTTCAGAATTCTAGCTTCTTACATAAAAATCTATATTTATGTTTTCATTCTTTTTTTTTTTTTTGGCATTAAACGAGCAGGATATCCACTGAGTATTTTTAATTTTCTGTTTTGATGTAGCAGATGGCAGGGCCCAGTGGAGAAGGTAAATTAATTGTATCACCGACTGACGCATCATGCATCCAGTCCTCTCCTCAAAATTGATTCTTATTATGGAGTCTGATCACTAAAGAGTCGTTGGAAGTTTACAAAATACTTGCCATATTTAGGCTAAAAAAATCAAGGTGGAAAAAAATGACAAGATAGAAAAATAGTCAGAGGTGTGTTTGACCATATTATTATCTTGCAGATAATTAACATGGACCTTATTGTGATTTGATGATACTGGCGCACAGCAAGCTCTATTTTAGAATATTTGGATTTATTGGAATCACTATATGTTCAGTATTGACTGATCTGATTGACTCTCTGACCTTTGAACATGTCAATATCTCTATGTAATGCCACAACAGTCTCCTGCTAGCATCACATCACTTTGTATGAGCAGCATTTAAATACAGAACCAAGTTTGACTCCGTTCTTTAGGCGGAAGTGCCTCTAGTTGTCTGCCTGGAGGACAGCTACTAGGGATGTATTTAAAGGAACACTAAAAGGTCAGGGACACAAACATATATTCCTGACCCTATCGTGTTAAAACCACCATCTTCCCCACTGCCCGCTTCTCCCCTTGCCCTTCTAAATATAGTAAAATCTCACCTTTGTTCCAGTCTGCAGCTGCTGCATGTGCCCCTGATCTGTCTGCTTGGCTGACATCATCAGAAGTGGTGGTCTGAGCCAATCACAATGCTTTCCCATAGCATTGGCTGAAACTGTCAATGAGGCAGATCAGGGGCAGAGCCAGCACAAGCCAAACACTGCCCTGACCAATCAGCATCTTCTCATAGAGATACATTGAATCAATGCATCTCTATGAAGATCATTCAGTGTCTGCATGCAGAGGGTGGAGAAACTGAATAGCAGTGCTGCTCACTGTGCAGCACTGCCCAAGGAAGCACCTCTAGCAGCCATCTGAAGAGTGGCAAGTGGGGTTATCACTAGGCTGTAATGTAAACATTAAAAAAAGAAAATCCAGCGCACTCCATTATCCCCTAAACAGCAACTTCAGTGCTGACAGATTTAGTTCGTTTTTATCTATTTTTTTTTTTTTTAAAACACCTAATGCAGGCAAAAAATAATGGGGGTTTAGTTACATTATATGATCATACATTGCATAAGCCTGCCACAACATCAATGTTCCCCATCTTTGGCAGGTCCTACGCTACCGGCCTTGTGTCAGCTTCATGAGCTACTTACTTGGAGGAAAAAATCCATCTAGAGTTCTCTGCAGTACACAGCTAAATAGGGCCATGGGAGGAGTCACTTGTGACATGGAGGGGTGCAAAGCCAAGGAGTTGGCTAGACTCCCAAATATATATATATTTATTTTTTAATTGTATAAATTGGCTACCAGAAGCACCCTATTTATTCATATTCAGGTGAGTGCAGCCCCGACCACTGTTTTCTCATGTAATGTAAACATTTATTTTTCTCTTTTACTGCAAAAAGCCTGAAAGGAATGATTATACTCACCAGAACAAATTGAATAAGCTGTAGTTGTTCTGGTGACTATAGTGTCCCTTTAACTCTTCAATGTAAGCATTGCTGTTTCTACAAAATGGTAATATCTTATATGGAATGGCTTAAACGGCAGGACCACTGCAACCCATTCCTCCTGTGACGGCATCCCGGAGCATCGCTTCCTGGTTTCTTGTCCAATTCAATGTTCCTTATAGAAAAGCGTTGGGGAAGAGATGCATGTGCATTCTCTATAAGCTGCATTTTATGACAATCAATGTCCTCGTGGACATTGGACGTCAAATGACCAAGTGAAACTCTGTTGTTGCAGCGCAATCTACTTCAGTGACTGTCAGGAAGACAACCACTAGAGGCGCTTTTATCCATAACTGCATTTCTGCTATTTACCAATGTTTTAGATTGAAGGGCTAATAGGTGAGGGACCTGGTACCCAGACTACTTCATAGAAACATAGAATGTGATGGCAGATAAGAACCATTCGGCCCATCTAGTCTGCCCAATTTTTAAAAATACTTTCATTAGTCCCTGGCCTTATTTAATAGTTAGTATAGCCTTCTGCATATCCCACGCATGCTTAAACTCCTTTACTGTGTTAAGCTTTACCACTTCAGCTGGAAGCCTATTCCATGCATCCACTACCCTGTCAGTAAAGTAATACTTCCGGATATTATTGCCCCTCTAATTTAAGACTATGTCCTCTTGTTGTGGTAGTTTTTCTTCTTTTAAATATAGTCTTCTCCTTTACTGTGTTGATTCCCTTTATGTATTTAAATGTTTCTATCATATCCCCCCTGTCTCGTCTTTCCTCCAAGCTATATATGTCAAGTTCCTTTAACCTTTCCTTGTAAGTTTTATCCTGCAATCCATGAACCAGTTAAGTAGCCCTTCTCTGAACTCTCTCTAAAGTATCAATATCCTTCTGGAGATATGGTCTCAAGTACTGTGTACAATACTCCAAGTGAGGTCTCACCAGTGTTCTGTACAATGGCATTAGCACGACCCTCTTTCTACTGCTAATACCTCTCCCTATACAACCAAGCATTCTGCTAGCATTTCCTGTTGCTCTATGACATTGTCTGCCTACCTTAATCAGAAATAATCACCCCTAAATCCCTTTCCTCAGATGTTGAAGTTAGGACTCTATCAAATATTCTGTACTCTGCCCTTGGGTTTTTACGTCCAAGATGCATTATCTTGCACTTATACACATTAAATGTCAGTTGCCACAACTCTGACCATTTTTCTATTTTGCCTAAATCATTTGCCATTTGGCTTATCCCTCCTGGAACATCAACTCTGTTACATATCTTAGTATCATCAGCAAAAAGACATACCTTACCATCAAGACCTTCTGCAATATCACTAATAAAAACATTAAAGAGAATGGGTCCAAGTACAGATTGCAGTTTATTGATAAGCCTTCTATGTGCAACAGTGTCAAAAGCCTTACTGAAATCTAGGTAACAATGTCTACTGCACCATCCTGATCTATTATTTTAGTTACCCAATCAAAAAAATCAATAAGATTAGTTTGGCATGATCTCCCTGAAGTAAACCATGTTGTCTCTGATCTTGAAATCCATGTGTTTTTAGATGTTCAACAATCCGATCCTTTAACATGGTTTCCATTACTTTCCCCACTACTGAAGTAAAGCTTACTGGCCTATTGTTGCCCATTTCCTCCCTACTACCTTTCTTGTGAATGGACACAACATTCGCTAACTTCCAATCTTCCTGGGACTACTCCTGTTAATGATTGGTTAAATAAATCTGTTAATTGTTTTGCTAGTACACCACTAAGCTCTTTTAATAACTTTGGGTGTATTCCATCAGGTCCTATTGACTTATTTGTCTTTACTTTTGATAGTTGAAATAGAACCTCTTCACATGTAACAAATTACTCATTTGGCCTTTTTCCTAACTGAGGCCCCTTTCCTTCATTTTCATCTGTAAATACTGAACAAAAATATTCATTGAGGCAGTCAGCTAGACCTTTATCCTCTTCTACATACCTTCCTTCTTTTGTTTTTAATCTAACTAATCCTTGTTTTATTTTCCCTTTCTCATTTATGCATCTAAAAAGTGTTTTGTCCACTTTCTAACTGAGTGTGCTATTTTCTCTTCTGTTTGTGATTGGAAAGCTCTTAAAACTTGCTTAGCCTCTTTCTGCCTAATCTTGTAGATCTGTCTATCTTCCTCACTCTGTTTTTTTTTTTTTAGAATTACTAAATGCTAACTTTTTGTTTTTTACTATTTTGACCACATCTGCAGAGTACCACAGTGGTTTCTTTAATTTTTTGCTTTTACTGACAAGCCTAATGCAATTTTCTGTTGCCTTCAGCAGTGCAACTTTTAAATAATCCCATTTCTCTTGGACTCTATTTAAATTGCTCCAGTCTGATAATGACTCCTTTACACATATTTATTGAGATGAAATAATCCTGGTGTCTTTAGTAGCCCTTTAAAATGGCTCTTATAGTTTGTGAAGTATCTTGTGTTGCTGTGAAAACTGCTTTTGCTCACAGCAAGAAAACACTGAGGAACAACAGCATAAAAACGTAGACCAAAAAATGAAAACATCAGCCCAAAAAATGAAACACATCAGCCTAAAAATTGAAACACAACACTTTATTAAATATATAAAATCATATAAATCAATTCAATTAAACAAAGTGAAGAAACTTAATTTTATGGTCTGAATACAAAGACCATCACAGTACTTCTTATGAAACATACTTCAAAATTTGGTAAAAGCCCAATATTCTGAATTTCTAACATTTATTTATAAAAAGGACCAGTGAGGTATGTGTCTGTCTGTTAGTATTGGATTCTTATACACTGAACTTTGGGCCACAAACTTCAGCAAATGCCATCACTTGTTTGTTGATGCAAATTCCTACATCAACAATAATAAACCTCTGTTTTAATCTTAATATCATCAATGTAACTTACCATATATTTACAGTATAACAGTGTAAATGAAACCAGACTTAACTGATAACATTTCTTTGTAAATGTATGTATGTATATCATGTATACCATATACATTAAAGGGACACTCCAGATCCCTAAAGCACTTTATCTTGCCGAACAGCTTTCTGTGTGAAGAGTGTGTCTTTTTCATTTTGCGAATAGTGAAGATTTCAATACAAATTGACACTATTATAAATTAACCTGGCTACACCCCCCTAGCTGTCAATCAGACAACCAATCCTGTTACTTCCTAGTTTGGTTAGCTCAGTGGCGCTAGGCTCAAGAGGCAGCAATTGCCCAGAGCACCTGCCTTGTGAAAACGTCTCATTGTGCTGCACAGAAAGTCTGAGCTGGGTAAGAAGGAGAGGACCTGCGAAGGATTCAGACACAAGATCAGTAGCTTTTGCAAGCTGTTTTTAGATACACCCCTAATTATATAAAAAAGTTTAATTAAATACATGCAAGTTTTCATTTGGGATATATATACTAAACAGTATTTTTTTTTAATTTGCATTTGGGCATTGGAGTATCCCTTTAAGGAAGCAAGCTGAGATATGTCAAATCAACCTAAGACACCCATTAGCCCTTTGGAAAACTGCTAGTGCACATTTTTGTTATTCTAGCCAAATCTTTAAAGATACAAAAACAGGTAATATAACTATGCATATATAATTAAATGTCCCCATGTCTTACACTGCATGTACTTTAAAATTGTGCACATACTAAAGGCTCACTTAGCACCATCCCAACTATGCTTAATTGCAAAAAAATGATAATGTGTGCAGCATTCTGCCCCCTCTCTCAGCTCTGAGAGTTACTTAGAACTGCAGCAATTTGACAAAGCCACTGCTGGAATTCTAAAACAACTCCCTAGAACGATCGATCAGGCAGGCCTCAATTTTCAGTTCAGTTCCCGATTTATTATGTTCATTTTGTCCAAGTTACGCGACATCTGCAAAAACCACTGTGGTCTTTGGCTCTGCCAAGAGCTGCACATAGCCCTGTTCACTAAACAATGTCAACAGCACGTCGGTACTGTCAATCAGGCTGCCCTATCTGCCTGCTACCAGTTTAAAGAGAAGTTTCAGTCATCAGTGATGAGCAGAACGGTCCATGGTTATAAATTACATTTCCCATAAACTTCTGCTGTGGAATGGTATGAGATAAGAGTATTTAACTAGCGTGAAAGGGGTCTGTTTGCTGGTTCTAAACAATGCATTGAGGGAAACATTGAAGGTAACTTTTTATTTACTTATTATATTTTAAATGGTTTTAATTGAATTAAAAAGGGGTTATTTGTACCTGCCATTTGTTTTTCATTAGAGTTTGTAAAATGTAATCTCAACAGAATTGCTACCAATTGCAGAGTCTTAATGATGATCTTAATAACAGAGTGACAGACATCACAATTCTGGTTATCAAATATATGGCAGATGATCACAAGAGCTGTGCAGACAAACTATCAGATGTGTTAATAAAATTGCACAGCATCATACCAAGCTAAATACAGTAAATGAAGACAAAGCCCACCTGAAATACCAATGCATGAAAAGTAATGCTAATAAAATATAGTTGATATTTCAGGTGTCAAGTCTCAGCTATAGTCACTGTTTGGCTATTTTACCTTGAGTCTTACTATTCGGTTTTAAATTCATTACCATTCAATGTGTTATGAATACATGTATACGTCTTTTATTAGGTAGTAGGCATTTCATTTGCCAAAAATGACAACAGGTAAAGTAACAACCAAATAATTATAATCACAGCTGCATTTTAGCCCAAATGGCTCTGAATAAAACTTTAATAAAAAAAAACAGGCTTTACTTTAATAAATGCAATTTAGTATTTTATTGAAACAATTTTACTTTACAGCAGAAGATGGCATAACTGTGCCTTAACAAGCAATAAAAAAATTAATGGCAGAAGCTCAAAAAACAAACAAAATTAATAAATAATTCTGAATATGTGACATGCAACAGCGAAGCATAATATAAGCAGATCTGTCAAGTTTTTATTTAGCATAATAAAATGATTGATCATCATATGGGTATTTTTAATCTAAATACATCCTGTTTATCAGTTGTTGTTATGGTAAATCAGGGACTGCATTTTTATCACTTAGAACCGGATTATATTCCATCCTCGGCTATTAACCATGTTAAAAGGCAATAGAAACAAAGTAGCCTTCTGACAGTGCGATCAAGATTAATAGACTTTGGTTTAATATCCCTTTATTACCTGACTGTAACATTAAAGCACCACTGTCATCTAAAAGTAATATTTCATAGAGATAAACTTTTTATGAAATTCTCATATTGACTGTCGGAATTTCAATGAAATTGCAATTCAGTCAAAAGATATAAGTAGGGACTACATTGTCTTGGTAGTTTTCCAATGCTTGGTAAAGATTGACAAAAGGCAGAACTATCTATTGACAGCTGAGGGGAAAAAGACTTTGTCTACGGAAAATTGCCGCAGTCTCGCGAGATCCTCCATAGCCCTCATTGTTGTATTCTCGCACATGAGCAAGAGCACAACGCTGATGTCAGCTACTGGCAGCTGAAGAAGAGCAGGAGAAGATGGTGGTGGCCTCATGGTCATGTTCGGCTAAGTATTATTTACCTTCCACTGCACCCCTCAGCAACCGCACTGCCAGCCAATCAGTCACCGTTGGGTGTCTTGGCAATTCATGCAAAGACCCCAGACAGTGACAGTGCCATTTTATGTTTACAACCATTTTTTTTAAATCCAACATATTGCAAGAAATTGATAAATCATTTTATCAAAAAAACAAAAACAAGTGTTGCGCTCAAATTATACTTAACATCCATTGATCTGGCTGACGTCGGTGGGTTTGTTTTCCTCGCACTACAGAATCCCTTTAACTAAAATTTGAGCGCAAGACATGTTTTTGGATTATTTTTGTCACTTTAGGTGATTGTAGCTTATTTTCACACTTCAAATTTTTTCCCCCTTTTTGGTTATTAAATCATTTTATCATGCTAAAGATGTACACCAGATAGGTCTCAATACTGTAAATGTAATACAAATATTTTCTTGCGGACCTAACAAACTTATCTTGCACAGGGAGAATTGCATTTTCTTTTATTGTATGCCATGATGTCGCATGCCTCCTAAAATTTTCAGTGGACGGAGAAGATCTCTTAACATTACAAAATCCAGACACGCTTTTGCTTGCATTCTCAGTGGGACACATGTCTGCATTGTTTAAAAATTCAAAAGTATACAAAAAAACTGTTTAATTCTATTATATGTAAAGCAAGATTTTCAACCTAATAATTTCTTGTCAGCGAATACTATTATAGTAAAAGAACTAGATTTAGTTTACAAAAGGAGAAAGCATTTTTGTATTCCTGAATTCTAAGTATGATTACTTATTGCAACTTTTTGTAAGTTTTTGTATTCCTGAATTCTAAGTATCATTACTTATTACAACTTAAATACTTGTGGCTGTGAGAATTATTGTTGTGAAGCACTGTCAATGCATACACTATACAATCTTACCTCAAAGCAAACACAAATAACGTGCAAGAATAAAAAAAAAAAGGGGGATTTGGTCCCGAATAAAGACAACCCCTGATAAAGAAGGACACTTGGCAGGTATGCAAGATTTTAAATCAATCCACAGAAATAAGTTAAACAGGAACTGTCACTTTTCTGGAAAGTATACCACCGAATAAAATATAGAAAATCACCTATAACTTGTGTTATCCTTTTTTTCATGTGATGTTCTGTTTTCCTTTAAATGCACTTTAGATATTCAGCATGTAGCACAGCAATCCAGTTATGACCAGGCACAGTCATGGCACAGATTGCATTGGAAGAGGAGAAACAGGAAGTCCTTCACATAGTACGTTCAAGGACAGAATAGTGCAGAGCTTAAAACAGGGGTGCCCAAAAGGTAGATCCCCAGACGTTGTAGAACTACAACTCCCATGATGATTTGCATGCCTTTAGAATGCTTTAGCATCATGGAAGCTGTAGTTCTACAACATCTGAGGATCTACTTTTGGGCACCCCTGGCTTAGAACAACAATTGACAGGAAGCCAAGATGGAGGCACTCGGCTTCAGGGTCGAGATAAATACAGCAGTGTAGATTTCTACATTTAAATTTATTTTTCAGACTTCACTAACATATAATATGTTAAATAATAAACATACTATGAAAAATCTTGGACAGTGACAGTCCCTCTTGAATGTTCATAGCAAATGTGTAAGAAAAGATACATTGATTACAAAGATGGGTGGAAGGGACATCAATATGGCAGTCTGAAGTATCTTGTTCCCTAACTCTCCTTAAAAGCAAATATGTAAATCATTCATAGTCTGTTATTCTTTGCTTTCCTCACAATCAGAATAGAGAAGATCTGATAAAAATGTATAAATGCAATATGCACAACTACTATACTATATACTTCTTATATGCCCATCTTACACTCATATAAATATTCTCCAAGATAAAGCCTTGT